AGGAATCTGTGATGTACCTTTCAGGCCATTTTGATAAAGAGATGTAAGAAGAATCCTTCTTTTGAAAAAAGTGTCTTATGCAGAACATACATTTTTACAGATGTTAAGAATTTCAGCGATAGCAGGAAGACCAGGTAGAGTAAGAGAAGCTGCAATCTCTGACTTCACTTTTGACAGCTGGAGATTTCACTCCTGCTTTATTGTTATGAACTCCTGAACAGAAGTGCTCTGCTCTCAGATTCTTTGAAAAATGCCTTTCAGTAACTGAGTCTTCAGTGATCCTCAGGGTCATCTGCCAATATTTACTGTTGCATAGATTACTTTGGCTATAGCTCTAGCATGTCTCCACCAAGCTGTTAACTGAGAACTAGACTGTGACACCTTTAACACCTTGACTGTGTGTTCTGGTGATAAAAATGTGTCTGTTTATCTCAGCAACATCCTGAATCTAATGCAGTGATGTCTGTTATTTGGAAATACAGGAGATTGCCAATGTGGTTACAGGAAGAGAATATCCATGCCCTGCTTAGGCACTTTCCCAGAAATGTAACAGCACTTCCTCTAGGGTATCATAAAGTGCAGACTTCTAAGAGCCTGTTACCATTAGTTTCTGCCATTTTTTCAGCCAATATTTTTACCTTATTTTTATATGCTACCAGAAACCATTTGTGTTTTTTCCTTCCACTGACACCAGAGCAGAATTGGCTCAAACCTCATGCTAGCATATATCATACACTGATATTCCCAAACATCCAAAATATCTTTTTAGGCTTGCCCTTGAGAAAGACGCAAAATCATCTTCATCCCTGACTAAAATGTAAATGGATTCACTTTGAAGCCAGAGTTGATGATGCCAACAATCATTCTATACACTACAATAAACCAACCTCCTCTTAAACCTATTAGCTCTCCCTAGGTAACCAAAATTGTCAAAAATCAGGCATACCACAGGAATTTTCTGCTACAAGAATTATCAGTATAATTCTTCCTATCCTTGTAGAAAACAAGGGAGAGAGTTGTATACAAGTCACTGCCCTACTAAAGAGAACTGAAATTTTGCCATCAGAATAATCCCATTTCTCTTCCTGCATACCACTACTGAAAACCAAATTAATACATAAAACAAATACAGACATGTTAACAGTAAAATAAGGTCTCTTCTCTGAAGCCATATCTCAGCTACACTCTGAAGGAATTATTTTAACACTTAAGTTTTTGCATGAGTAGACCGCATGCTGAAGCACTGAATTTTGGAATGAGACAGGAACTCTCTCTCACTCCAGTGGCTAAAATTACCATATTCACCCAAATCCAAAACAACTTTGAATTTAAGATGGCCCTCTGATAATTAGATTCTATACATGGAAAATTATAGATGTATTATAAGTGTTATAATTTTCCATCTATAGAATCTAATCGTCAGATGGTCGTCTTACATTTGTGTCCCCTACCACTGAAGCAGGGAAAGCTGTGGGACAGCAGGTAGGGATGTGAAAGGTTAAACGATTAATCGTATAACTTATTAGTGCAGCGATAATGGGCTAGCTTACTGGTTATCCTTTAGCTCCAGAAGGGCACAGTCTGGTAGGCAAGGGGGGAAAGGAAGCTGTACAGTGCCTGCGCAGGAACCAGAAGGCAGCAGGGCAGGCAGAAGGGAGGGAGGGAGGGAGAAGGAGGGGAGCAGAGAGGGGACTAGTACCCATAGCCAGCTAGCAGCCTAATGACTCAATTAAGCAGTTAGCTGCTGGTTCACAGGTGCTCCCTCTCTACCAGCACAGGGCTTCCAATGGGCTGTGTTGTCTGCTGGGGTTGCCTCCCCACAGTTAAAGGGCTCTGGAAGCAACCAATAACAGCAGCTGCTGGGAGCTGTGTGTTTAACTGATGTAATTAGAGAAGGTTAAACAAATACTTTTGAAAACAATATTTACATCCCTAACAGCAGGTAGCTCGACCCCTGTCCTTTGTCCCACCTGGTGCCTGCTTCCCCTTCCTTCTTCCCCTGCTCCCCATATGTAGTAGCTTCAGTCTGGGGCATGAACACATGGTGACTCCAGTGCTGGCCCTGGCCAGCCATAGCTCCAGCCCTGACCAGATAGCTGTGGTTGTGGCTCTGCATAGGCTGGGGCCAGAGCTGGAGCTGCAGATGCAGCAGTTCCCCTGCTGCTGTGCTGTCTTCCCTGTGTTCCCCCTGTTGGGCACCCCATTGTATAGGGCTGGAGGGAAAACTGGAGCTGAAACAGCCCTGCTCCAGGCTGGTACTCAAATCTAAGACAAGACTCCCTTCATGTTGACTGGAGGAAAAAAAAACCCCTCATCTTGGATTTGAGTAAGTATAGTACTGTTCAATACCAAAAGCTTCTACTTATGAATTAAAAACTTGATGTGGCTGTATTCACTCAGTCAAAATTCCCATGGAAGGATCTGAACTTTTATGGGAAAAGTCTAAATCATAGCACACTGCTATTCATATTAATTATCCAGCTCCTAGTGTCAGTTTCTACATGAAAATGCATCTGAATCCCTGTTGGCGGAGTGGATTCCTTCTAAAATACAAGATCTCAGTAAAATGCAAGTCATTAAATGGCTGTTTTCATAAAGTTAACAATAGTTCTTAAGAAATGCTGCAAATATCACCGATACAAGTTATACACATTATAAAACTGTATTAAGTTCAGAATGCAGTTTTGGTTTTAAGCCTGGTTTATATAACCTCATAGTTTTATTATTGCATTTACATTTTCAGTTGCATCCATTACAAGAATGGGAACCAATAGGAAACTTTTCTGGAACTAAGACTTAATGCTAGCCAGCATAATAGTCTAATCCTTTTAAAATTGTTTCTTCATACTGAGGAGTTTCTCATTTAACAAATTATGGGACCAACTGGCATGAATGACTGGCACCTCCCACGACTGGGGGTGGGCACCAAGTTGGTGAGCAGCGTGTGGGGACCACCCGCAGCTACCTGTGGTGGTGTCAGTGGCAACAAGTGGGGACTGCCCACAGATGCTGCCGGCCGCATCAGCAGGGAGGAGGGGGTGGGTGCAAGTGGCAACCGCCCGCAGAAGCTGGTGGCGGCCAATCTCGGGGGGTGGGGGGTGCTTGCACGTACCCTCCCTGTGTCCACCCTACACATTGCCTATGCCAACTGGCCTATAATGAGATTAAATAGAATTGTTTTAAAACTTTCAGAAATTAGCTTAGGACCTTAAATGTGATTTGAACAAATTCAAGAATGAATCTTGTGGCTGCAGAACAAAGAGGTGGATGAAAATTAGTAATGGAGGCTCCACAGCAGAAGTGGGATAAAAACCTTAAATCCAAAATCCAACTGGATTCTGGCACAATACTATTTGGTGGTCTGTTCTGTACTACATCCAAACAAAAGCACAATTAGCACTCTAGCTGTGAAGCTTACTATATAGTATGTTAACTTCAGAAGAGACAGAACGTACATACTGCTTTACAACTGTTCGCTATAAGACTTGCAGTCTTCTTAAATGTCTTCTCGAGGTAGTGAGCAAATCTCTCATTTTCATTTTCTTTGGAGCCCAGCTGAAGGAATTCACCTACATGGGTACACAGAAGGAAGTGTTTATTTTTAGATTCATAGTTTATGCAAGTAAATATAAAGATAAAAATAGAAAAAGACCTTACCACGCACCAAATCTTCAATCACCTGAGTTAAAACAGATACAATATTAGTGTTTCCTATCCGTGCTAAAGCTAAAGAAGCTGCAGACAGGATGAAATCACCAGCTAGAACAGCCTGCAAAAAAAAAAAAAAAAAAGGAAGATTTTCTTGAAGTTGGTTCACGTAAATGATAATTAGGATAATCTTATGATTTTTGCAGGGCTAGTCCCATCATAACATTTTCCTTTATTGATGCATATTACTGAAAACTGAGGAAAAAGTCATGCTAGTTAAATTTTATACTGTTCCCTAGATTTTTGCTATAACTAATATAGCAAGCAGTGAGAATGTGACATATGAACATGCATTCCTCTGCTAAGTGAGAAAACATCTCCATGACTATTACATGCTGCCATTCAGTAGACACAGAAGGATTTTGAGTCTGTGTCAGTTTTATCCTTGTCCTCTTAAATATTTCCTGAATAATATGCACCATAAAGAGAGACTTTAGGTGTTTTGTAAGTTAGTGATACAAGCAAAGACCTTAAAAATCTTAAATTAAACCAGTTATGTTACTATCTGAAAATGCTCATGATAGCTTAAAAGCTTTTTTAGCTTATTATTCAAAGCAGGAAAACTGATATAGAAAATGCTTTAAAAAGTGTGTTTTCATATTTTTTCAACAAGGCCTAATGGGAGTTGCATTGAGCAAGGATTGCATCTAGTCCACAAAGCCCATGGACTGCATCTAATTCACAAAGCTGCAAAGCTACTGCTGCTGCCGCAGCTTCTTCATGCACTGACTTGGATCCAGCCTGCAGGGAGCCCTCACTTCAGATCCAACCTAGGGCATTAGGTAAGTTTGACACCATTGGCATAGAGTGGTTAAAAATCAGAAAGAGGTGTCTGAAAAAGGCACCCTGTACCTTGAAGAGACAGGAGTAGAAACTGTTGGTCTACAAATTATATGACTAGGAATTGTGTGACCATCTAAGGCTGCCCAACTTTTTCTGAACATTTTCAGCTTCTACCATAAAGTGTGCTGCACTACCAAGGCTCCAATCTCAAATCTTTAGCAATGTGACCAAAAAATACGAGTCTCTACTTTGTCAGAATCTGAAAATAAGTCTTGCATAAAACAACTCACCTTTCTCTCTCCCCAGATTTGATTAACTGTCATTTTTCCTCGCCGAGAATTTGCTTCATCAATAACATCATCATGAACTAGACTAGCAGTGTGAATCATCTCTGTAATTATGGCCACAGAGCGTTGGCTTGCTTGTACTTCCCTAAAAACAGAAAAACAAACCAACTCTTGACCGTCAGTCAAGCATACCTCAATACACTCATGAAAAGGTTTTTGTTAGAGAGGAGACGGAGACTTATTTCTCAATAAGGATTTTTCATGAATCTACCATGGGTTACTCTACCTTCCAAGCTTTTAAAAGGAGACAAAAGCAAAGTCAGATCATTTCAATTGGACAGCTGCAACTTGTTACTATAATTTGAAGAGATGTAACCAAATCTTACATGGTTCTATTCTGCAACACCAAAGTTAATGGAAGTTACGCCACTGATGTCAATGGGATAGATCATACTCTCTCTCTCGCTCTCCCTTCAGTATAGGCATTCAGCATCAGTTTAAAAGCTCCCCCTTCCTTTCCTATAGCCTTCCCTACTGATACATCCTCAAAGCAAGTGTCCCATGGTTTTATTCCTGCACTGCTACTATAGGTAACAATCTAGTGTAATATATACCCACTGTAACAGAACCAGATTCAAAGAGTCCATGACAGTGTTCTTGACGTGACATTATGTCTTCTATGAAAAACCTTATAAAGTGGTTTGTTTTGGTTGTTTTATTGTTTCTTCTGGCTAAGCTATTTAACAAGCAACTCTAGTCCCAAAGTCCTAATAATCTGAGTTGATCGCATGGCAGAAAGAAAAAATAAGAAGACTGCAAACACAAACATAGAGCTAAGCGTAGGTCACCTCTGGAATACAACAGTATAAAAGGTAGTGAGGTTCTGTACTGATTAACTCTCAGGGACTTCAGATCCTCTGGGTTAAGTTCAATTTCATTTGCACCTGTGTGTACAGATGACTTTCAAAACAAGGATAGGGTTTAACAGGAGTGGATGATAGAATTTGACTTTAGAACTGGAACTTGGATTACTCTTGCTAACGATCCACAAACCTGAAGTGCAGTCGGCTCACTCCCCCACACCAGTGCCTGGCCATCCGAGCAAATAAAAACAGACAGGGTGAATGTATTGCAACAGATTTGTTCTACAATGAGGTACCATTTTTAGTCTTTTTTATTTTTTATGAACATTACCGTACTATTTCCAATTAGCACTAGCAATTTGAGGTACAATTTTTGAAAGCCTTGTGTGCAAAGTAAATTGATTCTGAAGTGTACAAGAGGAAAAAATATAGACCACTTGTCTATGTTAACCTTGTTTTCCCAGTCGTATTTCTGTGAATGAAAAGAATCTATAGGTGAGATTAAAAACCAAAACAGAGCAAAAGGAACACTATTTATTTGGTGTCCAGTTACAGTGCAACCATTTTCTCCAAAGTTTGGTCATATAATCCCAGGGCTAGAATGAGCTTGCTTTTGTGTTTCAATATGTTCAAAGGGTATTAATAAAGTACAAGATCACATGCTCATGGTTCCAAGAAGGCTGCACTCTGGAGCACAGCAAAGAGTGCCTGCCAGTCTTCCAGAAGGACAATTTCAAAGGGGGACCTCAGCGGTCAGGTATGCAGACCCTTTACAGTCTCCCTTACCTTCGCTGTGCTCCACCCTTGGGAGGCCTGAATCGCAAACTCTCCAAAGCTGGTTGACAACACACTAGTATCTGTAGAGGTAACCAGAGCAGGCTTAGAAATCTGCATTCTAGATTCAGTGAACACAGAACAGACTCCACAGGTTGATTTTTCTAAGGTTTTGAGTAAAACTCCAAGAAGACAGAGGTTACCCTGTATCATGTACCACATCAGAATAGGGCTGTAAACACTTACTGATCAAGACCACACCATGACCCAGTAAAGCATTTTGGAGGATCCAATGCCAATGAGTCAACTTTCAATAGCTCAGTTACTTTGGAAAAAAAAAAAAAAAAAAGACTGGTGCGGGACAAGTTATGAACACAGAAGTGGTTAGCTGGGGATGAAGGATGACAACTGCAAATTACTCTATTCCTCAAAGGTGCCAAGCTGCTCTTCCAGCAGAAGGAAGCTAAAGCTAACCTACTTTCCAGGACCATGAGAAATTAAAAGGGAAAAATGTACAAGATGTTGGAATCATTCAGTCAAGCATAAAGGGATTTAAAACTTCCTACACGGTCTACATATATACTAAAATGCAAATATTAACAATGGAAGTGGAAGGTGACTTCTTGCCAGTGTGGTGATAAAACTGCATCCTGACACCTATTTTTATGAAAACTCTGCATTACTTTCAGTGAGAAGTTGTGCATACAGAACAATAGCAGGATGTGGCCTGGAGAGACTGAAAAAAGGAAATGTTTCTTGGCAGAAAAAGAAAAGCTGGAGACTTTGACAGTTGTTTTAAGGTAAATTATATTGCGTTTAAAGGCTTTGTTAGTTCTATACAATTATTTTTAGCATAGAGGAGCATGCACCTTAAAACAACTGTAAAAGTCTCCATCCTCTTTCATGCTTGGAACTCCCCTTGTCATAACTATGTCAGCAGACTGGACTTTCTGCTGGGAAGCAGCAGTACAATGGCATCATGTACTGAGATACCCCAGAACTCAGTGGTAAGGAGACAGCACAATGACAGACATTCCAAAAGCGAATTTTGAAAAGTTCCATATTAACATGCAGTTCTCTGAAAAGTTACTAAAACTGGTATTATACAGTTTGTGTGAAATGCATTTCTGGTTTTCATATCAAATGTGCTAATTTTACACAGGAAAAATGTTTTTTAAACTATTATTTTTGCAAATTCAAATCGTACACGTTAATTACAGTAATAAAGTTCTGCAGGTCAAGTTGTACCCGTCAAATGCCTGCAAAAAACCTGATTGGGACATAATGAACTTTGTTTATGATGTTCAAGGATTAATAGAATCCTGATCATTCAGTGTTAGCAATTTTCTACTATTGTACAAACAGAAAAAAAAACACTTTTAGTGATGGTCAATAGGTAACTGGATGTTCCCGTTTATTTAGTATGAAGGTGCCATTTTTACACAGTTCTCAGAGTAAAACCACACAAATACAGTATATATTTAGCAAATAGGCGTTTTCAAAACCAGTACTCGAAACTGTGCCAGAGGTAAATGGAAAAGGAAAGCTGGGGAAGCATGGAATAGGGGAGTTGTGAGGGCAGCTGCCTGATGCAGAAGAGCTGAACAAGCAACACACTATGTAGGCATCACTATGGCAATTGGGGGAGATGAAAGAATGCTGATACTGTACACTGCGGTGAGGAACAGAGAGAGTAAGAAGCAGAGGTGCACTGATACTTTGGTCCAATATTGGACAGGTACCGATAAAAAGAAAATTGCCTGTATCAGAAATCGTCTTGAAGTAGCCGATAATTTGGCCAATAAATACCCGTGCCTGCATATAGCCACAGCACAGCACTCAAGCAGTGAAAAGCAAAGCCCAGCTGCATGCAGTTGGTAAGTCAGTTGTGGTGAAAGGGGATGGGAGAGAGAAGGGGTCTGAGAGGGTAGATCAATGGCCCCTGCTAAGGAGGGAGGGGGCAGGGGCAGGGCATGGGATGGAGCCACGGCTAGTTGCAGGGGGGGCAGTTCCCACCACTGGGCACACCCTGGGATGGCAGAAGCTGCCCCGGCCCGCCCCCTCTCCCTCCCCCTACGAGCTGCAGCTCTATCCCACGCTGTCCCACCCCAACTGGGCATTGATCTGCCCCCCTCTCCACAACAGACTTACCAGCTGGAGGCAGCTGTATCGGAAATCAGATCATTAATCGGCCGATGTGCCTCCTTAAATAGCGGCTATCAGTATTGGCCCCCAAAATCTCTATCGGTGCACCCCTAATAAGAACCCTAGTTTGGCCAGTGGCAAAGGCATCAGCTAGGTGCAATAGTACTTTAGGATTTCTCTTGTAATTTTGAAGGGTATGTCTGTTTCTCTGGCGAGTAACTTTCTCAAACGGTCCTCCTACCCGAATATTTCTACAGCTGCCTGCCTTGTCTCCTATTTCAGCCCATCTGAAATATATCTCTACTTAAAAATTATAGCTAGGAATGATGTAGAGTGCAGAACATGGGCCCAGCCAGGGTGTGTGATGATGCTGAGTATTTCTGTAGGTGTTGTGTGAAGAAACATAGGGGAAATGTGTGAAAACAAGATTCACACAATCCCAAATTAAGACCCCTTACCAGGATTCCAGCACTCAAAGCAATAAAGCCTCAACTATTAAAAAATTAAAAAGCTACGGCACAAGGAACCTAACTACTGGGACTTACATTGATGGCAACAGGATCTTTAAGGGGAAAAGGAAAATCACACTAGCACAAAACAATTTACGTGCTCCATCCACTGATTCTGTAATGAGGACGCAAGGAACCTGAACATACCATTTTCCTTTCAGCAGCCACAATAAAGTGAACTTCCTGAAGAAAAACAAAGCAAAGGTAATCCATTGAGAATGGTTTAAGAGTCACTTCATCTAAATGATACAACTACAGAACAGCTTGAAGGACAGGCATTATGTGGGTGGAGCTGTGTCTGTGTGTGGGGCCCCAGTGACTCCAGTAAGGTTCTGCACAGACACCAGAATCAAGATCATCCTACAGATTAAGGACATAACATTTTGTCTGATGTTCTAGCATCTAAAAGAACACGCAGGCACCCTTTCCCTTCCTACTGTTATTTATACAGCTAAAAGAATCTTATTTTACCAAGAAAAAGGGAAAAACAGGCAGGATCCAGAAGACCATGAAAAAATTGGGACTGGAAGGTAATGATATGCAGCAGCAGTAATAGTCACCAAAGGCAGGGAGAAGATAGAAAAGTTGGAGTCAAGATAGTTGATAAAAATAGCCCTGCTCTCAGTATGTGTTGATCTTTAACAGAAGCAGTGGCAGGGTGAAGTATAATTGGGCACCAAAACTAATTTACTTATGTTCTCCCTCCCCTGGCAAATACAAATGCTGTACCCCTAATAATGTTCCAGTTAGTTTCTTTCACTGTATGGAGGTCTGAAGCTCCTACAAAAGAAAAGCAAATTCAGCTATAAATTAAGATAAGACTAATAAATATAAATGTGCTTCAGAAGATAATGTTTTTCTTCTGCACTTTCCAAAACAGAAAATTCCAAATTTGGAGGGAAAATGAGAATCCTTTAAACTAATGCTGTCAGAGAACAGAAACGGAATGACCAGAAAGCAATATTCTTCTCTTTAGGTGCCACCTGCACAGGATTTTCACACCTGGATAGTTTAAAAACAAAACTAAACCAACCTCGACAAATAATTCACCAATAGGAAATGAAAGCACAGCTGTACAAATCAGTGATAAGCCAACACAACAGGATGAATAGAAAGTATGTGTTTGTCTGTATTTAGTATATAGTATGCAATGACTAATAAAACTCCCAAAATTTAGTATAATCTGCAATATGCTGTTAGAAGAATCCTAAAGCTAGAAATTCCATGCAGAACATGGCCAACTGATAGAAGGGGATCTCTCAAAAGTAAAACAAATGTATTCCTTGATTTGGTCTCTCCCACCATGAAAATGTGGGTCAGCATCTGTGGAGTGGAAACAGCGCACTGTGGACAAATTTGCATAATTTACAGAGATCTATTAGAGAGAAATAGGGATGGAACATGGAAAAAAAGAGGAAGAGGAGGCTGGATATGCATTTGACTGGGATGATTTAGGAATGTGCATCTTGCATGTTTGCAAGGGGTTGGACCTAGATGACTCTTGAGGTCCCTTCCAAACCAACAATTCTCTTTACCCTTCCAAAGCATTGCTATTTTCTTTCCCAGCATATCATTCCAAGGAAATGAAGACAAAGGAAAGGAGTTACCCAGTCTATGTCAACACAGGTGAAAAAAGTGAAATATCACAAATGGTTCAGAGAGTAATGAGGCGCAGCCCACACTAAAATCAACAGTGCAAAAAAATGTTAGGGACACCAGTTTGATGATCTGTGCTTATGTTCTGGGAGTATAGAGTCTTGAGCATCACAATCTGGGTTGGCACAGAAAACTCTTGGTACTGTACCGTGAAATAATATACAGGCTGACACGAGTTGTAGGCTGGTACTTTAGGGTTCATTTCAGTCCTGGTTGAGAGGTCATGGTTGAGCATAAACCAATACCCCACATCACTGCTCTTCTAAGCGTTAGACAAATAGGAACTGGAAGAAAACTTATGGGTCATCAAATCCATTCCTTTGTTATGAGAGGCACCATGTCATACAATCTCTTTCATACATTCTGTTTTAAAACTACTTTGGATTTTTGCTCCCACTATTCTGACAGCAAGGCTGTTTCAGAATTGCTATACTGGCTAGCAGCCATCTAATTTGAAACAAATTCATTCATGGCCAACGCATGCCTATTTAATCTTTTGCCAACATTGTCCTTCAGCTTAAATAGCTCCTCTCCCTCCCCTGACCCTCAGTGTACTTACAATCATATTCCCTATCAGCCTTCATTCTGGCAGACTAAACAAACCAAGGGGTTTGTTTATTTTGCCAGACTAAACCATCCTGCAGAGTGCTGTGGATGGTTGAATAAGAAGAGGAAGACCTAGGACAAGCTGGGCCACCAATATCAAAGACTAAACAGGATTAAAACTGACTGATTATACAAGGATTGCAAAAGACCAGGAAGAATGGAAAAAAAAAAAGTTTGTTACATCAAAGATGCCCCAAAGGTTGGTGCGGTCTCGGGACTGACTTGACTTGACCCAACTTGACGAAACAAACCAAGTTCTTCTAGTCTCCTCTCATTCTAGTCGCCTTCCTCTACATTTGTTCCAGTTTCAATTCCAGGTTCCTTCCAGGCCTATGCATCTCTGTGTGCTTAAAGCTTCAAAGGACAATAATCTTTAAAAAGTGTAGATAACTAGAACTCTATGTAGGGTTTCAGGTGAAGCCTCACCAGCCTCTTGTACGATGACCCAAATAATTCCCTCTCTCTCTGGAAGTACATCTTCAGAAGTATCCTAGGATCACATTTAACTTTTCCACAGCTATATCCCATTGGTAACTTAGCCATTGTGGCTGCTGACAGACATGAACCCCCACCCCTGCCCCCAAAAAGCAGACATGAGCCCCCCACTAGTGCGCTCCCCAAAAAACAAAGCAGCATTTTATTTACTGGTAGAGAAAGTCCCTTAATTTGACCCGGCTCCCCTGTATCCGAATAGATCACATGCCAAACCTAAAGTTGATTCAATCAGCTTTTAGATAAATGCAACAAAAAGTCCCACTGAAGCATGTAATCTACACAGATGTTGAGTGAGCCGGGTCAAAATAATGCAATGCCTCTTCTGGGCATGTGCTGCACTTGGTGTGGGGGTGTGCACAGCTTAAAGCACTGTTTTTTTTCCCATGTCTGTAAGCAACCTCTGTAACCAACTGGTATGCCCAGGCCCATCTACATCTCAATTCTGTCAGCTCATAGTGGAAGTCTTGGTTATCAGTCTTTAATAGTATCACCTTGCAGCTGTACTATTAAAAAGACTCTTACTTCTTTTACTCCAGTCCTCAGATTATCCAGTTTTTTTTCTGCATGATGTCCCAAACTTCCTCTGTATTGATGATGACTGCAACAACTCCACTAGCAACCTCCTGACACCCTGATTCTTTCCTTTTCAACACAACCCCTTGCCATCTCCCCTTTAACCAATATAGGGAGCATAACCATGTGTCACAGACATTTCTTCTATTTGAATACCAGGAGAACAGCCAGACCGAAGAAAGCCAGACAAAAAAAAAAAAAAAATGCTAAAACAAGTGAAACACCAGAGAATCCTTGGAGGCAAGAGACTTAAATTCAGAATTCCATACTAGAAGCAATGGAAGGCAGAAAGGTCTGTTTCAACTCCTCCTCTTACCCCACTAACAGTCAACATCTTCCATGAATGCTGACATGAAGGAACTGCCTGGAATATGTGAGCAAAGTGTTTACTATTAGCATTGGCAATATGCAATAGCTTGTAGACAGCAGGTCTCATAACTGCTTTACTATAGATGCTCTCAAGGGTCACACAACTGGAAGACTTCAGGAAATAATACCACCCCCTTGAGCTAAGAATCTAAATACATGGCAGTGAAAATCCTGCACCAGTGACATCTTTGGAGAAAATACATCTCATTGCTCAGAACACCTGAAAAGTATCAATTGCTTCCTGGGTTATCTTCTTTAATTTAAAAAAAAAAAAAAAATGCGTCTCTCCTACAAGGAACAAATTCTTCTCTGATAAAAGTTAACTATAGGGATGCTTATATAATTGCCAAATAATTCTGATGAAGTGTGAACTGGGTCACAGTGGTACAAGTAGTAATGAAGTATTTATATAGCAAGATGTGACCAAAATCCTTTCAAATACTGTAACTATGGATCTTACTTACCCTTCCATTGTTAAAACAATAGTACGTCACAATTCTCCCAGAAACATGCATACAAAAATTATTCATTTTCATGAGTAGCTTATTATGTCATGAGGATGAAATGCTGTTAGCAATAGGAAGCAAAACTGAAATTTTGCAGGTGACTTTGCTGTTTTGATAAGGTTACTGGACACATTTCATGGAATTTTAAACTTAAGATTTATTAGATTTTTTCATTCCTATCTATAAATTTCAAGACCAAAGACTCACTTGGAGTTATTGTAATGAATGTTGCATGCCCTTGCCATTAGCACCACAATCATTGGTCGAAAGGCTTTCCCTCTTCCATCAAAGTAATATTCACACATTTCCCTAAGTTCTGCTGTACATACAAGTAGTTCCTGCAAGCCAAAAGAAAATATCAATATCAAAATTACAAAATTGACCTGTTGATATAAATGAACATGCAATCAAATCCTGTTTGTGGTCTGTTTTTAGCTTCTTCAATGTATGCTGGAATTGGTTTTAGTGCCCTTTACAGTACATAGTTCAGAGCAACTCTTCATACTGCCTTGAAAAGAAAAAAAAAAAAGATTGCTTCATAGTGCTGTGAAATAGAGTTTGCAAGATTATAAAATGTTATAATTCTCCATGTATAAAATCTAATTATTGGAAGATCATCTTAAATTTGTCTCCCCCACCACTGCTATAGGTAAAGCAGCAGTGGAGAGGCAAGCAGTGGCAGGGGAGCAAGTGGTGGGGGAATCAGGCAGTCTGACCCCAGCCTCTTGCCCCCTGCTGCCTGCCTGCTCCCACTGATGCCTTCACTGCACCCATGCAGTGCCTGTGCACCCTTGCGCCTGCACCATGTGCTACCTACTTCCCTTGCCATATACCCTCAGTCACAGCTCAAGCTGTGGCCCAGGGAGAGCACAGAGCACATGGTGGCTCCAGCCCCTGCCCAGCTTATAATATCATCAAGCTTACAATGTTCTCTTCAACTTTATTTTACAGTTAAGAGGGAATCGGATAATAATCAAATAATCAAGATAAATCTTACTTCAAATTTTTAAGCTTTTAGGCGATATTACATAAAAACCTTGTAAGTCAGAATCACTTGATTGTTCTAGAGCATTCAAGATGCCTCACCTTTTTAATATCCTCATAGAGATTCTTCAAGTCTTTCCTACCAAGTTTAAAAGGGTCCTGATATTTTTCATCGCTAACCGTTTTGCTACAGCTGCATGCTCGTGATGCTGTTGTATGATGAAGCCTGGTAACAGTATTATTTAAAAGAATAAAAGTGTTTATGTGACCTTTTTTTTTTTTTTACTTTACAAAACAGAAATAATCTAAATTGTTTCTTTTCCACCCTCAAAATGTTAAAACAAGCAACTAAAAAGTGAAACACAAAGCAGCCTGTTACTTTCTTTCACTTCCAGCCAATACTGTAGAGTTTAGCATGGTTACATGCCAGCATATATTTAATATGACTCATTATGGGATGCTTGGTAAAATGCAATATTTGAGAAAATGTGGTAAGTAAACTAGACAGGACCTTCTGGAAATATAAAATCATTTTTTTCTCTGATAAAGTATTTTCAGGTGCAATCAAAGCCTCTTGCAACTTAAAGACAACAGAAGTCCTGTACTATCTCCCCCTGCCTCTGAAAAGATATCTATCTTCTGTTATTTAAATACATGCTGTTTTATGCATCCAGCCATTGTGGCTGAACACCTGGATCAAATTTATTTCTCAAAAGAGAGGCATAATGCAAAGAAATAGACTAAGCAATGCAGTGTGGCTGGGCCCCTTCTGGTTGTGCCAGGATTCATAAGCAGGGATCTGGGTTTTCTGTGTGCAGTGGAAAGATGCGGATTTTCTACTTTACAGAAGAAAAACCTGGAAAACCACAGGTTTCCCCTTGTAGGCTTTCAGTTTCAGCCTGCAAGGGGCTGTGGGACGCAGGGGGCACCATGTGCATGTATGTGGACACATGCACTTGGCCACCAGACAGCATTGGGGAGAACAGCTCCCTCCATGTAAGTCTATGGCAGAGGGCATGTGCCCCCCCAGATTTCTGAGCCCATGGTAGGGTGCAGCACTGCAGCCTGGCCAGACCATCTCTGGGCAGGAGCCACCTCTGCAGCTCAGGGGGTCAGATCCAGCATGAGGAGTGATGCACCACCTTGGCGAGGCACCTCTCCTGTCCAGGAGCAGTGGGGGCACAACTCCGCACTTCTGCACCTTACCTTGGCGACCATGGCAGCACAGCACTCCCTCCCATGCAGGGTCCTATCCAGTGGGCCAAGGAGGCAGCTCCTGCCCAGAGCTGGTCCAGCCAGGCTGCAATCCTGCTATGGGTGCAGAAATCTGGTGGAGCACATGCGCCCCCCCCACCACACACACACATCCCTTATCCCCACATCCCCCTTCCTCAGACACTGGGGAGCTGGGGTGTGGGGGGAAGGGGCAGTGGGTCAGGAGTGAGAGGCACTAGCAGGGTTGCGGGGGCTGTGGGTTGGGTGTGAAGGGCACCTGCAAGTTCAGGGGAATGTGGGTCTGGCGTAAGGGCACCACCAAGGCCAGGAGACTATGGATTGGGAGTGAGGGGTGCAGGTAGGACTGGGGGGCTGTGGTTTGGGAGTGAGGAGCAACAGCATGGGCAGTGGCAGGGCACTGGCATATCATGGTTGCTCAGTGCCACAAGGCAGCAAGGGGGGACAGGACAGGCCACAGCTGCAGCTGGACCCATGTCTTGGTGAGAAAAGGGCACAGGAGGAGCTCCAATTTTCCATGATAAAAAGAAACAAAATCAAATGCCAAAATATATAGTTATTTAGAATTTATTCTGTTATAATGATCAAAGCACTAGCAGGCTTCTAAACTGCTTTAAAATTGCAATATGTCAATAAAACGTTGTGTTCAACTGATATGTATAGATATCTAGACAGAGATATATATGTATAGTGATGTTTCATTTTAATCATGGAAAGATGTGAACTTTGGGTTTTTTAATTATAGAATTTGGGATTTTTTTTGTTTAAGTCAGAAGATTCTGGATTTTTAAACAGAGAAACCCAGGATCCTGTTCACGAGGCACAACTACTTTTCTCTACTGGGCACTGCTTGTTTGGAGGGCTATACCACCTTATTGTGTCCCCATTATTTCAAAGTGAACCTCTGGGCATTTCTGTACGTTGATTTCCATAGTGAGAGCATCTAGGACTAATTCCTTGCCATGGCAACAAAGTGCTAAATGATTTATGTTAAACTGGTCTATTAGATATTATGTGAAACCATCTCATTTGACAGTTCAAGTTTAAAAGCCACAACTTCAATTATGTAATTCACCCAATAATTGTTTCTTAATCTACTTAAGCAGTTACAGAAGTCTGGATTTTCAACTTACCTCCAAAATATACTACGTAGTTTTGGAAATGATAGAAATGAACTTCTCCCTTGTAAACAGTGCATCTGCATAAAGAAAAGTAAAGTTCATTTTCTTTTAAATCAACACCTTTAAATCGTGAGAAACATTTGATCATAAACAAATGCTTATTTGTTAATAGCACTCCAGCTCCTCCTCTAATAGACAAGAGAGTTATAAAACTCAGTAGTAAAAGGTAGCATTGCATCAGTTCCTTACAAAATATGCTCTCATACAAGATATATTGTCACTTAAGCACTGACTGGATCAGCATTTATGAATACAGGAGTCACCTACCTCACGACCAAACAGGGAGATATCTTCTAAGCTATCAGCCTCTGTAAGTTGTACTTTCAAAACCTAGATTGTGCTCTCAGGGAAGGCACAGCCGCTTTTGAGAGCTCTTTATCTGTCAGGTAAAACTGGCCTCTACTCTCAGAGCCAAAGGACATGCCTCCTTCCGGGAACTGCTTTCCCATGGAACGGTTTTGTTCAGCGTGCCTCCTGCAGCACTTACCGTTCACACCCATTCTTTCCCATCAGTTGCCAAGAATCCAACCTCCTAAACCGCAAAAACGTTTCCTCATTTGTGAGGCCTGAGGGATGCGAGGAAGCTTACTTAGTTCACAGGCTATATTGTTGCCCCCAAACTATGTTCAAACTTGAACACTGCCAGTCTTGCTCTGTTGTCAACTGCAGCAACAGGAACCAGCAACAGGAAAGGTTTTAACTTATATGCAGAACCTAATCTACAGGGTCATTCAACCAGCAGGACCCACCTCGGTGCTGCAATCTGCACACGCTTACTGAGCGAGACAGCTCCACACATGATGCATGGAGGAAAGTAATCACAAACAGGCCTAGCAATCACCTAGAAAGAATACAGGAGATTCCCAAGCTACTTTTACTCTTCAGTTGTCCCCCAGCACATGGGGAAAGAGGAGTCTCCGGCCAAGGAATACTTCACTGGCTTCAGGCTCT